TCATTTGGACCCAAAGAAACCTCTGTCCCATAATATCCAAGATGCAATAATTGCCTACTCCAGGAAACATCTTTTCCTCACTCACAAGATGTGGGCTGAAAAAATTCACAGCAGCATTTACACAGATCAGTCCTACACACTGTTTGCCCTTAACATGTCATTAGCTGGTATCATTGGATTTAAATCAATTGTTTTATTTGATTGCAAAACAATTCCCTCAATCACATGCAGGAGAGAGGCAGCATGGTTCAGCAGGTTGGCTCAGCTACTGGGCTGAAATCTAGGTCTGGACAGGTGTACCCTGTCTCTAGAGCTCCATTTGTAACACTAGCAATGTGGCAGTGTGCACAAGCTTCTCCACTGGGAAAATAGACACCGTGAGGTGGCAGCTTTTCTTCTAGCTCATACCCCTGAAAATGTGTGCAAAACTCCTTCTATTTGGGGAATTTCTTCTCTTACACAGGTGCTCTTTAGAAGTGACTTGGGAGTATCTGCAGAGACAGAGTGGGGGGAAAAGTGTTTCCAGCTTCTCTTTAGTTTGACAAGAGTGGATCCTGGGGGTGCTCAAAAATCCCCAAATATATCCACAGCAATGACATCAACTCTGCCTTGGCTCAGCAACCTCTCTTGGACAAATCTGTAAGAGGAAATAGATGCTTCATAGGAAAGAGCAGCTGCATGTGTGCATAGGGAACTCTGAGGCAGTAATCTGTAATTCAAAGCATGAGACATTCTCAGTGACATATATGATCTTGTATGACAACAGATGCAGAAAGGATGCTAGATTTGTCTGCAAACAATTTTGTGCTAGACTTCCATTTGGAAACCTCGACCTTAGGAAGGCAATTGGAAATTTCTATTCACCTCTTCCACAGTCAGGATATCAGAGAGAAGCAGTGAACCAATGGAGAAATTTATTAACATGATGCCAAAATCTCTGAGATTTTGTGATCTATTTCCCTAATTATCTTGGGAAAATTACAGCACCCTTTATGGAATAGAAGCATATGTGGTTATCAAATTTCTGGTTACAATGAGCCAATTTGACAGGTGAATAAAAAAGTATCAGCTGATACTAATGCTGTCAGTAGATAAAGTCACCACCATTACTGCAAATATTACAGAAAAGGGAAGGATTTTAATTACCAAATGCCACACCAGTCATAAAATCGAAGCACAGATACACTGGGATGGAAGCAAAATGCAGATTACTCATCAGTATTTTTTCAGGATATAAATAAGTCAGATAATCTTATAATAAAACAATACCCACTCTGTTGGATGTCATCCCCAAGTATCAGTTAGAAACAGAGATTCAAACAGAATACTTAGACCCTCGAACATCACACTCTATCAGAGTAATTTACTGTTTTTAATATACAACTGAAATGCTACAGAAAACAAAATATTGGATTATAATATATTTTGTGTTACTGAAAGCCACTTCCTCCAACAGTGTATTCCACAGCATTGAAAACTCAGCCTTTCATTACTTGTTCTCCTGGTACAGCTCATGCCTGTGCCATCACTTGTAATATCTTGGCCATCACTTGGCCAGGTGGCTCTGCTCCACAGCCCTTTCTCAGGATCTGATGTTTACAATGTGGCAGCAGTAATGGCCTGGGATTTTACCTCTCCTGGAATAAAATCTAACAACTCACCCCCTCCCATGTCAATACCTAGAGACTGTCCATCCCTGCCCACCAGCCAGTTAGTGTTTCCCTACCCAAGCAAGCTCAGATGGTCTTCTAACAGGATTTATCCTGCACTGCACCATGACAGCAGACGTTTAAAGCAATTCACAAAAGAATTTTCTATTCTTTCACCCAGTGATGGAAAGCATCAATTTCGTAGAAAGCCCAAGGTGAGTTCTATATATACATCCTTCTACATACATATATCCTCCTTCTCCCGTGCTTGAGACAACCTGGCCACCTGTCCAGCTTGGGACAGCAAGCCCTTCCCCTGAATTTCTTGGTGCCCTGATTCTTCCCAGGGTCTGCATCACACTTCCCCTTCCTGACACATCTCTCTAAAACCCCTCTCTCTCTCTTCAGGACAGAAGAATAGAAATTCTCCCTGGCCATCAAGCGAGCCCTGAAAAAGCAAGCCATCCTAGACTGTTACTGTGACAATTTAAAGCTGTGCATCTGATGTTATCTTACCTGCACCAGCACTTTCCTTTTCCCTTTTCCAGCTTTAAAGACCATTTTAAAGTGGCATAAAGCTGCATTCACTCAGACAGCAATGTACAAGTTTGAAGAAACCCACAATACACATCAGAATAATGCAGAGCACTCATCATGACTCATTCTTACTTCCTCTATATTCACTGAAAGAAGTTTTATATTTGTGAACTGCATGATACCACTGAACAGCACCTGAGTGCCTTCTCTGGGTGACAAAACTTGCCACTGCCAATTTGTTGGACTTTATTCAGAGCAGAGCGGGATCCATCCAGTTCCTTTCCCCTGGCCCACCCAGCACCTGTCCCCCACCCTCAGCCTCCAGGCAGTGAGCACCCTCCTGAGTGCTCCTTCCAGCCTCCCTTAGCCATAGCCACTGGCTCAACACAGCATCACAGACCTGCAGCCCCTTTTAAGATGGCAAAAGGGATGGAGTAGGACCCTATTTGCTCTGAATTGCTCTATTGTTCACGTGCAGGTGAACAATAAAGATTGCTCTTTCCCCCATCTTTGCTATAGTTCTGCTTGGATCACCTACTAGTGTGTCAACTGAAAATATATGCCACAGTAAACCAGTTATCTTTAAGACATTAACATTTACCAGCTGTTCAGGTACCTTGACACCTGACAAAAGCTAAAGAAATATTATGGCATCTGTATATCACACAGGCAAATAACCAAACAAATCAAATGTTGCATCATTTTTCACCTCAGACTATTCCAGTAAAAAAAAAAAATAAGGCAAAAGCAGGCTACACAGTACTTCACACTCAGAATAGATTTATTTCGTCTTGCTGAGGCTTCCTGTATCATTCATTACTCATCTATCCAGAAACAACGTTTAGCTTATGAGAACAATAGCCTGTAAATTTTGGAATCTGAAATATTCATGAGAAATAGGTAATGACATTTACAGTTTAACACACACACACACAATCTGAGCTTCTAATGAAAGATCATAAAAAGCCAGAGTGCAATGTAGCATTACCCTTTGTTTTCAACTATTTTGAGACAGTCTACATGGGAAAACAACTGGGAGAGTTGGGGTATTTCAGTTGCAGCAGTCATTGTCTGGGAGAGGAGACATGGCTAAAAGACAGGGACTTTTAGCATTGCTGAGCAACTGCTACAGAGCAGTAGCCCGTCGAGCTGAAGGGAATGCTGAACCAGTGGTATTGATGGAGCAGGTCTGCTCAGAGCTGACTCATCAGTCACCATAAATGACTTGGACACAGGACTCAAAGGGATACTAAATAAATTTGCCAATGATATTAAATTGGGAGGAGCTGCTGACTTCTTTAAAAGCAGAGAGGCCCTGCAGGAAAACCTTGACAATTTAGACGTCTGGACAATCACCAGTTGTACGAAGCTTAACAAAGACATATGCCAGATTGTGTGCCTCAGATGGGGCGGCCATGGAAGTACAGACATTGGGGAATGAGAGGCTGAAGAGCAGCCATAGAAAAGGACCTGGAGGTCCTGATTATTGGAAAGTTGAATGAGAATCAGAAGTGTCCTGGCAACCAGGAGGGCCTTGGGTGCCTCAGGCCCAGCATCACCAGCTGGGCAAGGCAGGGGATTGTCCCGCTCTGCTCCGAGCTGGAGCAGCCTCACCTTGAGTGCTGGGGGCATTTTGGGCACCACAATGTAAGAAAGACACTGAACTCTTAGAAAGGGTCCAAAGGAGGCTGTGAATGGTGAAGGACCTTGAGGGAGAGCCGTGTGAGGAGTGGCTGAGGGCACTTGGTCTGTTCAGCCTGGAGGAGACTGAGGGGAGAGCTCAGTGCAGTTACAGCTTCCTCTGAGGGGGAGAGGAGGGGCAGGCACTGAGCTCTGCTCTGTGGTGACAGGGACAGGAGCCGAGGGAGTGGCCTCAGGTTGTGTCAGGGGAGGTTTAGGTTGGGTATCAGGAAAAGGTTCTTCCCCCAGAGGGTGGCTGGGCACTGGAACAGCTCCCCAGGGCAGTGGTCACAGCAGCAGCCTGGCAGAGCTCAAGAAGTGTTTGGACAATGCTCTCAGGCACTGCTGTGGTTCCTGGGGATGGTGCTGTGCAGGGCCAGGAGTTCTTCTTTGATAATCCTAGTGGGTCTCTTCTTCTCAGAATATACCATTATTCTATGGCATTCCTAAACTAATCTGTGTTTTGAGCTAGAAAAGTAGTGGTCTACTAATGGCTGATTTAATTTTTAAGTCAACATTATCATGAGGTTACAGATCTGCCAGCTTTATGCAACAACTACAGAGTTATTTCAGATCCCACACTCTACAAACATATATTAATAATATTAATCATCATCATCATCATCATTTCCCTCAATTCATTCTAGTTTCCTAAACCTTGAGTGTGACACAATGTAGAGATATATCCTCCATATATCATTGAGTTTGAATCAAGTATTAAAATACTGAAATAGAACAAGGACTGCTGATGGGGAAAACCAAAACAGATGAAAATCCCAGACACTGTGCTCATTTCTTCAACAAAATAAAGGTATGCTGTGATTCTGGATGCAAAAAGAATAAAATCCCTATACATGAATTTATTATTGATCTATGAAAAAAACACATTAGACTGGATAAAATTTGTTCTCCCCTACTTCATATCTCACAAATCCTTTGCAAATTAAGGCAGGGGAAGAACAATTACATCTTTAAAGAATTTAAATCAATGCTAAGTTTCCCATTGATAAAGAAATCAAGTATGTTTAAAAGGATCAACACCTTTGATTAACTGGAAATTTGATACCCTCAGAGCACCTGTTGACTACAGCATTTAAGGTACCAGATAGTCTTGTGCTAATCGTTGACCCTTACCTCATACAGGGGTTGAAAAGTGTAGCTCATCCCCTTAACTCAGGAGGGGAAGCTGGAACATCAGGCATCACTTTCATTTTCACTTTATCAAGAGCTCAGACCTTCCTAGACCCACATCATCAGCTCTTATCAGAAAGATGCCCTCTGCTCTCTTTCTTCTGCTTGAAGCGGGAGCCCCTCTCTGCTACACAAAGGATCTTGTCACTGCTTTCACATGGTTTGCAGCTTCATTACAAGCATTTTGCACATCTCAGGCTGGAACCTGTAGATGAGAACAGCTTTTTAATGTTTTCTGTAGTCTGTAAGAATTGTGCAATTATTCAACTGAAAGCAGTAAGCATGAAGGGAAAAATATTATTTTCAACTCTACTTTCACTGCACATTTACAAGATGAGGCAGTGAAGCTTCATTTGCAGTCTGTTACAAAGCAAATCAAGATATATATTTAATATCTAAATTGCGCACAGAAGCAATATGGAAAGAAGAGAAGAAACTGCTGATTATGTAGTTCAAGATGGGGCGAAAAACATGCTGTTCACACATATCAAGTGCCAGCAGGCAAATGTTGGAATAGTATCATTCCCTGCTCGCTTAACTTACTTTGTGCGGAAACTGACACATCTGTATAAATATTATAGGACACTCACTTGTAATTGAGGTCTCTCATTGCAAAAATAAGGTCTCCTGAATTAGCTTCTGAAGTGTCTGGCACCCAAATCTGCACGATAGTAAAGTGATCTTCCACAAGATGGCTCTCTCTCTCTCTGTTCCTATTACTGACTCAAACCTGTGCAGAGGGAACATAAACAATATTCAGGACAAAATGAGATTACAGTTTGGAGGAGTAAGAGTGCCTCCACATGGGAACAGAGATGCTTCACTGAATTAGGGCAACTTATGTGGAGAACAACCCATCATCCATTTTCTGGCGACTGTAAAGGGGTTTCACAGGGTGTTTTGAAATTACGTCTTTTGAAAAGCAGGTGCTTCTACACCTGCAAGCCAAGCTGGTGGCCTCCAACGAAGTTTCATTTTATCAGCCACATTCCTAATGGGCAGTACTTAATTTAACAAGCACTACTTTCAGGACTAACAGAAATGCTCAGCTTCTGGACTCGATTTAACAGAGAGTTCCTGCTCCGCTATAAGCATGGGCAGTGAACCATCTCTGCAAATGTAAATTCATACTTGCACTCCAGACTTCAGGGAAAATGAAGCAATAATAAAAATAAAAAACATTTTCACCAGTATATTTTTTAAATATTTTTTTTAGACAGAAATTCTTTTCATCTCTTATGTGACAGCTATGGAAAATTATCTTTGTGACATATGAAAACATGATTTAGAGTAGCTTTAAAACCTATTGGATACACAGAGCCTACTTACCCATATTTATCCTGGACCATTTTGTATCTTTACCTTATTTTCTGTGAAGTGCGCTTTCCTGTACATTGTTCTGTTTAAAGTGCTTACTGGAGCCCTGAGAATGTGTGTAACAGATTTGTTTACGGAGTATTCATCTACACCTACAGAAAATTCTCTCAGAAATTAAGTGTCTCGACAATCTAAAATACATCTGACTGAAACAGAGATGCAAAGATCTTGCCTTGTGTCACCAATAGCTTTACAGTACCTGCTGATGATATAGATATTTGTCATTGTATAATGTGCATTCCTCCTATGCTTAGTAGCTAAAGTAACTCACCTTTAAGCTGTTCCATTAGGTGGATTCAGGACAGTTGTGTTATCAAATAACTGCCCTACTGAGAAAGAGAGAAACAAACAAACATCAAAATAGGAGAGTGGGAATACTTTTCACACTGTTGCTTCCTTCATCTCCAAATAGTATTCTGGGACAGGCATAAAAGCAGCAAAAAAACTCCCTAGTCCCCATCCTCTTTGCAATAGAAAGTGGGAAGAGCTGTGAGGAAAACCTCCAGTTCTGTGGGATTCCTGGCACAGTTTGGAGCTGTTAAGGTATGAGCTTCCTAAAATACCTTGTGGGAAAAAGCTAAGACACCAGCTTCCCACATGGTTTATCTAAGGCAGCTCACAGCTTCAGGCTACCTCACTTCTACCACAACACAAAAGTACATCACTGGCAGCTGCACTAGGGCAGCTGGGACACTGAAATTACCACGTAATTTACTCTCACATGCCCGTGCTCATTGCTTCTGGAATATACCATCCTCAGTTGGCCCCATTTTGACAGATGATAAGTGCAGTGTGGTAGGCAGGGACCTTCTTTCCTCTCACATCCCTGTTATGTGGTCTCTGCAGAGCTATAAGAAAGTACCAGAAGTGTAGACCCACATTTGGCTTGACAATAGCCAGCAGAGAGTTCTCTTACCACACTAGGACTCCTCAGTGAGCATTTGCAGCTAGATTACATCTCTTCTTCATAGTATGAGCACAGGAAACTGCTTACAGAGTCCCCTAAGAATATGGTCTATTAAATTAGCAAAACCAGAATTAGGTTTAAAGCCTAAAAGGAATGAGAAAACAGTGTTTCCTACACATTACAAACTGATATTATTTTTATGTACTTCGAATTGACTATTGACCACCTGCTCCTTACCACACACTGCTCCCCACCTCATCATTCAGCTTTCTTGCATGCACAGAACACCTTTTTCCAGCACTGGTTGCCATTGGACCATTTTCATAGCAACGTAAAGCAGCTCTGCTCTCTTCATTTTATCTCAGCCACACTAAGGAAATGACATTTTGGTCCCTATCACAAGATGATGGAGAAACCTGAGCTCTAAGAGCAGCTGCCTTTCTGTCCTAGGTGCTGCCAGTCACAAGAAGGGCATGCAGCTGAGAGATATAAAAATTGAGAGAAATGCCCAAATTTCAAACTCACATGTGTACAAACAGCAGCACATGACTAGATCACATCATCCAGTTCTGCCTCCATTACCCATCAGAAATGGTGACTCAGATCTTTGGGTGTGTAGCAAGCTTCCGGCACTCATTTCATAAATAGCTTGAAAATCAGGCAAAGAAGAAAGAGAACTTTTTTCTTCAGAGTTTTCTTTAGTCCTTGCAAGATAAGCCAGTCATTAGTTTCACTTGCTTCTTTGCAACTATTTCATTTCCCCAGCACATTAGACAAAGTCTTCTCCCAGTGCTATCTCAGAGCTCAGGTACTGACCATCTCCTTTGAAATGCTGACCTCCTCCTCAAAAAACAGTCCTATTTTCTACTTGTGCACATAGGTAGCAGCACTGAGGAATGGAGTTCAGTTAGGAGCTGGCAAGTTCTGTACCATAAAGTAATTTCTTCTTCTGTTGGGACAAGAGAAAAGGAGCTTGAAATTTATAATGAATGTAAGGACTGCACTGACACCAATGTGGCTTAGCTCCATTCTGTCAAAAAAGATTATTTTTGAAAGAAACACAGGGATATATCTCTCACACACTCTCAATCTGTGTTAATTAAAAGTTATTTAATTTTACTGTCAGTGAAGCTTAGTCATGTTACTGAGAGCTCCAAGATCAAATTCTGATGCCATAGTGATTCAGATCAGTGCAAGGCAATAATCTTATTTTACAGAACCAAACACAAAGTATTCTGAAAAGGAAAGGAAAAATAAACTAACATTTTTGCTTGCAGCCTTGTAATTTCCCTGAACCATGCTGTGCTGTTGACTTTTAAGCAAAAGTCTTTATTGAAATTCACTACAAGTTCTATTTAAGAACTGGTGCCAAGATATGGGCCATTGACTTCAGTACAATTACTCCAAGTTGTACTGCAGAAGTCTGAGACTTGAGTCCCGAGTATTTCATAAGCTTAGGCAGGCTTAAGATCCATTATACAAATAAGACATTGAACTGAGTGAAAACATACCCAGAAGTCCTGTGGAACCTGATTGGACCTCTTTTCTTTTGGCTTTTGGTTCTGTGGGTTTAATTTAAACTCCAAGAAAAACTCAATGTGCAGGCAGTTCACTTTCCTCATATATAAATGAAAAATGTCGTATTACAGATTACTTTGTGCACTTGATACTTTTTTTTTGCTACATTTTAGAAGAATCCAGCCTCTTATTTATTGTAGAATTCTTTACAAAAACACATTAAGATTCAAAAAAATTCACAGAAATGCAAAATAGAAATGGTTAATTTTCTTCTGCTGGGATGTATCAGTATTTTGGGAATATCTTATGTCCCCAGAGACCCAAAAGGCAAGTCATTTGAAAAGTGGTGTGTTTGCAGAAAATCACCAGAATGCCCTGTGGGACCAATCTGAGCCCTTCAAAATCCACTTGAGTCTGTCTGCTGACTTCAGAGAGTTTCAGCAAAGTCCCCCATGCACATTTTCTAAATCTAAAGAATCATTAGGCTTTCCAAAACCCTGTTACTGTCTGCACTTTAACAGATTCAGGAACAACACACCACTAAAGACTGATGCTGTACTACCCCACGGACTGTCCGATCTGATTTTCTTTCCACGCTGCTGACCACGGGAGCTGCCATACATATGCACTGCAGCAACTGGAATAAATTGCAGGGAGGGAGAAGTGTTGAGTGCTGACAAGTCAAAGATCTGAGAGCAGCCAGTACTGTTATCAGAGATTCTGTACAGTGAAATCACACCAAAGCAGGATTAAGCAAACAATCAGAAGAATTTAATATATATTACCTGGAGTTTGACACAGGGAAGGCAGACCAGCAATATTTTCTGAATTTTCACTGAATATCAAAAACTCTCTAGAATACTAAAAGGTTGGTAACCAAGACACCCAGGTTTGGGACCCAGCATCTGAAATCAAGTGGCCAGAGCTGAAAATCATAGAAGCAATAATTGCAGAATTACTTTCTCTGAAATGAAAAATAAAATTATTAATAAAATTTATTCAAAAATCCATGGAGAATATATTTTGTTTCCCTGGACCCTGGACCTCTATCTTCAGAGCAAAGGAGCAAACCTCATTTTTGTACCAAGCAGTGTCAGCACTGTCAGAAAAGTGTAAATGACTTGTTATGGAAACTGTTATGGCATCTGATGCACATTTCCTCTGTACAGGGAAAAATCTGTTGCATGTTTTCACATCATTTAAATTAAGCTTGTTCATACAGGCAGTGTTATAAACATCTTAAAAAGAAAAAAAGCAGAAAGCATTAAGTAGAAGTACCATGTGGTCTGAAAACTGGTCTACTATTTTGGCTGCTGCTTCAGTCAGTTTTACACTTACATGAATTTTGGGTGCAGACAAACGCTGGAGAAACAGTCTGTGAATTGAGAAAACTCAAAAAATTGCTTAATATATTAGTGAGTTCTATAGACAGCATACACAATTTTGTTCACAACATTTTCTAAAGGATGGATTTTGGAAACCTGTATGAGTATTCATGAAAATTATAACTGAACACAAGCGGTTGAGCAAGCTATATTTAGAGTGGCCAAACATCTTTCTCAGTGAAAACCAGGGATTCTCACACTGGGGAGCAGGAGGACACTCAGTGCCCTTGGGCACAGCACCAGAGGTAGGGGAACACAGTCTGAAAGAGCGAAGCAGAAGCTCACTGCTGGAAGCTGCTGCCTGCATGGCTGAGGTGTTCTGAGCTAACTGGGCTTGAGGACTGCCTTCCTGGCTGTAGTGTACAGCAAACTCACCCAAGCAGCACAGGCTGAGCTGCTGCCTTACAATAAAAGCAATGTATGTAATTTGAAAACTGAATCTAGGTGTTCTAATCTCAGCATTAAATGTTTGGAAAGCTTTTACCTGTGGTCTACCCTTTTAAAGGGCAGAAGAGCTTTTCCCATTTGAAATACAAAAGCTAGCTTAGATCTCAGTCAAACTATTTACACTACTTACACTATTTTTTCACTTAGTTCTAGGTCTTAGGTCCCCATTCCTTATCTAATCCTTTCTATTTTGTATCTATTTAGGAGTCTGGCCGCTCACCCAAGCTTACTTCTTCATATGCCTAAACTGTAATACTTGTAAGAAGCATGAAAGCCTTTTCATGTAATGAGAACCTTCTCAAAGTGCTTGGAATTCCTGTAAATTACTTCTTCCTGGAACACAGGTGCAAGAAGCTGGCTTTAACTTTTCACACAAAAGTCTGATGATCTTCTTAACAGATATCTCCAAGCTATAGCAGCTAACACATATTTATGTGTGAGATGCCTCAGAATAATCAATTCGGTTTGCTTAGGCTCCAGTAAAGAAACTACAGCTACAATCTTTTTTTCTTCTCCCTTACTGTTTTCTTGCATAACATTTTTTTTCCTTATCATTGCTTATTTTCATGCAAAGCATGTTTGCTTATTTGCTATGGTCAGTAGACACTTTATTTTAATTACTTCAAAGGTAAATGTATTTGAAGACACTTGGCTCTCATTCCAGGTAAGAAAAACAATTAATATAATGGCTTTAGAACTGCACAGGAAAAAAATATTAAAAAAAATGAGCTTCCAACACTTAAAACCCCCATATACATTAATAAAGATACTATTTATTTTGCCTTTGCCTTCACCTTTTCCCAACTAACACAGTAGTGACAACAAGTTTACTTATTTGCTACCTAAACTTATCAAAGGTTACTGTGCAGTTATTTATCAACTGTGAACCTACAACTTCATTACTATAATTATGTAGTATCCAGTCAATTGACTTCAGGGATAAATGCATATTGCTCTTGCACTGCCTGCTCCAACACACATTTAGTGTTAAATTTCTGTTGTTACTATGTATGTGATACTGCAGCACCTGCAAGGCTGTTTAGAGATCAAAATGCCACCATTGCTGACACTGGG